AGAAATACATTTAACTAAGTATTTAATTATTCGAATAAGCATGTGACATCATTGAGGTAAAACACAATAAGGAATTTATTTACATATGTAATTATTGTCAATAATGTGAACACCACAACAATTGAATAATCACATTTACATCCCAAATCATTCATCGTCACAACAATAGAAAATGACCCACGAGTCCCATGTAAGAGTCCAAATCCAAATACAAGTTTCTTTTGTTTAAAAATCGCCCCCACATTTGCGTACTATTATACAGAGGGGAGTGGAGCATCTAAAATCATCCGTTTTTCTATTTTTGCCAACTACAATACAGTAGGACCAGTGGACACCCAAAAACACATTCCCACATTCATTTAGCAAGAAGCTTAAACAAGGCATTTGGGCACCTTTAACTACCCCCGTGCGCGGGTACCAACACAACTCACACAACACCAAAACCGACTCTTACCCAGACTCATGCTCAATGAATAATTCATCACATTTCCATTCAACCATCAAACACTCAACATTGTCAAGCAGGCAACAATACATAACATGCAAGGGAACTACTACCCACATCACAATTCCATCTCCATAATAATATTCATACATCTCATTTCCTCATTATTCAAGATTTCCTAAGACTTTAATGGGAAACCTTCAATTAAATGCCATTCTCTCCTCAATTTTAAAATTAGGGTTTTATTACATTTGGGGCTTCCTCCATTTCTTCACTTACACATGTTTCCATTACCATAATATGCATATTTGACCAAGGGAGATTGGGGAAATTCCAATTAAAAGTGGGGGAAAATCTACTTTGTATAAATTAAGGGTTTATTTCAACTCAACATCAACATTTCATCTTAAACCACAATAATACCACCAATGCTTCTTCAAAACAAAGAAATACAAGGTTAAAAGTAACTCTACCTCAAATTATGAGTCCAAGAATCAGGCTCGTAGTTGAACTCTTCACCAAACAAAATTTAATCGGTAAGGATAATGATCTTCAAGTGTTCTTCACCCTTTACAAGAGCTTTAGGTCGAATCTTAAGAGATTGAAGAGTATTTTGAAGTAGCAATTTAGGGTTTTTTCGGGTTTGAGACAAGGAAGAGGAAGAGAGAAAAGAAAAGTGAAGAAAATGATCTAGAATCGTACTTTTTAAAGTGTTGATATCGCGCAGACCACTTGAGCTCAACTTTCTACGCTCGAGCGTGAGACAAACTCGGAAGGCTCACTCGAGTGACAAATCCTTCACTCGAGCGTAAAATGACAAGTCCTAGAAGTTTTGTAGGGCTACTATGAAACAACTGTGAGCAAACATTCTCTGCTCGAGCACAACTTCTTGCCCTCGAGTGACCCGCCTGTAAACTTAAGAGACTCCGATAGCTACAATTCTCCGCTCGAGCGGGCACCTGGAACAAAATGTTACAATGATCAAGCAATTGTGTTGAAGTTCTATGCCTTAAAAGTTTTAAGGACTTCCTTGGAATAAAAAATAATAACAATACAAACAAGAAAAAGAAAAAGAGAGAAGAAGAAGATGATGATGATGTAAATGATTGAATGAACAATCAAATTACAAGTAAAGTGCATTAAGATTACTCATATCTAAGTTTTAACTAGTCCTATATAAATTAGATCTACTCATATGATAGAAAAGAAATAGAAATCAAGTCATGCATTGATTTGTTGGTCATCTTTACAATAAAGCCATCAATGGCAATTTATGCAAAGATATGTAGGAAAAAAACTTTTATTAACTATCATCTAACTACCCATATAGCTTCACTTTCTTACATTGCCACTTGTCCTCCATCCCTTAAGAGTTGAGATCCTCTCCTCGGGCTCTCTTCTTGTCTCCTTACTTACAATGGTGGAGATGCACCTTGAGTTGATCCAACGGTCCAGATTTGGATGGGAAAAACAAATTTAAATTTGTTTTATTATTTTATTATTTTTAAATAGTCAAATCTTAACCGTTGGATCAACTCAAAGTGCATCTCTACCATTACAAGTAGGGAGGCAAGGACAGAGCCCAATGAGAGGATCTCAACTCATCTGTTAAATCTTCAAAACTTGACTTAATTTCTCATAAAATTTTCCTGCATAATCTTAATAATAATAACAATAATAATAATAAGTAATAGAAAGCTTAAACCTAGTTATAATCCACATAAATTTTATGGGGATTTTTTTTTAAAGTTCTTAGTATTAAGATTTTATAGGTTAAAGGATATGTAATATTTTCATAGTGGTTGGAGTCCCTTAACATTTTTTCAGAGAAATTTTGATCTAGAGAAATTTTGATCCAAAGAAATTTCAAAAGACAAAGAAATTTAAATTTCTTTGTCTTTTGAAATTTCTTTGGTTTGAAATTTTTCTGATTTGCTCAATTTCTCCGATTTTCTCTGTGTTTTAAAATTTCTCTAGATTGAAATTTTGCCCACAAATTTCTTTGTATTTTGACCAATTATTTTTGGGTTGAAATTTTGCTCACAAATTTCTCTGTATTTTGACCATTTTGTTCTAGTTTGAAAATTTTCTAGTTTACTTACAATTCTCTTTGTCTCTGTGTTTTGACCAAACCAGAAAAAATTAAACATATTAAAAAAATAGTCTAGAAGAGAGAGGTGTGCTTTTACTGGGTTAGGGTGTCAGGTCATCTTGTAGTTGTTGAGGTAAAGTTTCTTCAATCCTAAAAGCTCCTTCTGCCTACTCGAACAAAGAAATGCTATTGCCAATACATCAACATAAATTCTTCAAATTGCTATACATTTTAAAATCTTAAATCAACAAACACACCATTGAATCAGTGAACAAAGCTCATATTTTACTTTGAAGAAATTGAAATCAATCGGAGTGAGTGGTGGTGGTGGTGTTTTCGGTTCGCTCTTTTTCATTTGCCGTCGTTTATCGACGCATCTCTCGCCTCAACAACCTTCTCTCTAACTTTAACTGAGTATTCATCTTCTATGGCCCTCTACCTACATAGAAGATAATGGAGAGAAAAGAGAGGGTGGAAGCAACGACGAGGATATCCATTACGCGCTGTGGCCCCTACGGAGCTACTACGTTGAAGGCTCTAGATCTGGAGAGAGAGAGAGAGAGATGGTGTAATATATGGGTGTGGGTGGGAGACCTTAAGCTATAAAAATAAATATTGTGAATCTCTTTCATTATTAAAAGTTGAAGAGGGATATTAGACTAAATATTTCAAATTTTATTTATAGTGCAAACAAAACAAAAAAATAAAATAAATTAAACAAAACAAAAATACCTCCAGTTTCATGTTTTCTCACAGTTCTACCAAACGGGGCCATTGCCATGCTTCGTTAGTTGTTTTTTTTTAATGCATTATACACACACACACACACACATATATATATATATATATATTAAAATATACAGTGGCGGAATTACTTGGGGATGAGGGATGCCGCGGTCCTCCAAGTTTTTGAAAATTACATTAGTACCTCTGTATTTTATGATATTTATAAAATATATATATTAAGATTATCTCCTAATTTTTTGAAAATCAATTTATTAACTATCAATTTTATTAATTTTCACAATGTATAATAATGTAATTTTCAACTATTTCTCATGCTATTTAATATTATCGATATAATCTAGTCATTTTATTGTATGCCACCAATTTTTTGGTTTTTTGTTTTAAAAAATCAAAGAAACATATATACTTTTTATTTACTAGATATTGTCAACCAACAAAATAGTTTTATTAATAATTCAAAAATTTAGAAAATAAATTTGTTAGATTTATTTGTCCTCATAAATTATTATTTTTCACAACTCTTACATAAGAAGTTAACTTCTATTACATAAGAAGTTAAATTTTTTTGTGCATACACCTTAGCTCCCCTCAGCATAAATTTTGGTTCCACCCCTAAATATGCTGTTTCTTTTTTCAAAATATAAAGATAAAACCCGTGATTCGTGTTGCAATTCAAATTTCATTTTCTCCACCATTAAAATTTTGTGGGTTTTTTTTTTTTATGGATGCTCAAGCTGGCTTAACTTGATTAATTTTAGGATTTAAAATTAACAATTAGGCAAACCTGAATTTCTAACTTGATTCGAATTCAAAACCTCTAATCTTATTTTTAAATTTTTACGACATGCCAACCCATTAGAATTTATAGTAAGAAAAAAATTAGTGAAAGTCATTGGTGCAATAAAGTGAGGTAACATGGCAGATGGCGTTCGAATATGGAATGAATGCGAGGGAAAAAAAAAAAAAAAACAAAAAAGGGAAAAAATACTAATCAATTAGAAAACTCGAATGGTGATATTGGGATTAAAAAGTTGGATTAGTGGAAGTCTTAATTTTATTTGTGCCTTCTTATTGATTATTGAGATCATATAAATAATATTAAATCACCGTTGGACAATATTTTATTTTCCAAATGTAATCACTATAGTATTACTCAAAGGAAAGTAAGATATAAATATTTTTAGGTTAATTATATTTTTAATTCAAAAATATGAGTTTGTGTCACCAATATTTGAATTGTGTCAATTTAGTTTCTAATACATAAAATTATTTTAATTTTTTTCTAATTGTATAAAAAATGTTTCAATTTAGTCCCTCAATCTAATTCTATTATACAATCTAGAGAGAGAAGCTCTCAATGATTTCAACTTCAGAAGATCTGTCTATAACAAAGTTAGAATAAAGAACTAAATTGAAACACTTTTTATAAAATATAATTGGAATATCACATTGGCATAGTTCAAATATTGGGAAACAAATTGAAACACTTCTATATATTAGGAACTAAATTGACACAATTTAAATATTAAGAATTAAAATGACACAAGACTCATACTTTTGGGGGGAAAACCTCATTAAGAATAAGCACTTTTAAAAAAAAATTAAGAGTGGAATTTTGATTTGAAAAGAAGGATGACAAAAACCAACATTACTCAGCATGATGTCTGTCTATATAAATTATGTTGGTTTGTTGTTACTCTTACTCAAACTGTGAATTCACTTTCACTCTTCTTTCCATATCTAAGTTATCTTCATGGAGAAAACTTGGTTCCACTATTTAGCTGCAGCAGCAGTAGTAGTGTCCTTGGCACAGTACTGTTTCTTACCCTGTTTGCCTATGAATGTTCCCAACTCCACCACTGATCAATCTGCTCTTTTAGCCTTCAAAGCCCATATCACTTTCGACAATCCTCACCACATATTGGCCAATAACTGGTCCTCAGCCACCTCAGTCTGCGATTGGGTTGGTGTCTCTTGCGGCAAGCGCCACCGCAGAGTGACAGCCTTGAATCTCCCTGACATGGGTATTGGAGGCACCATCCCACCCCACATAGGAAACCTCTCATTTCTATCCTACTTCAACATTGCCAACAACACTTTCCATGGTCATTGGTCATCTTCCCAGTGAGATGGCTAGATTGCATCGTCTAAAATATGTCGACTTTAGAATTAACAATTTCGACGGGGTTGTTCCGGCATGGCTTGGAAACTTACCCAAACTTCAGTACTTGAGTCTCCCAAAGAACAGTTTCTCGGGTTCGGTTCCAGTTTCCATTGGCAACATATCAACATTAGAGTGCCTCGATTTAAGGTACAATTTTCTGGAGGGAAGAGTTCCTCAAGAGATCGGTTACCTTCCTAAACTGAAGAAATTAATCATGGGAATTAATAATTTTTCGGGGTCTATACCCCCAACCATCTTCAACATCTCATCACTTGAATTGATCAATTTCTCATCTAATATGCTGTCTGGAATTCTTCCGGAGGATTTGTGTGTTTTTGTTCCGAAATTGAAATTTATCCATCTTTCCTGGAATGAGATTGAAGGCCAAATTCCATCAACTCTGGGTGAATGCAGAGAGCTCCAACTCATATCATTATCTCTTAATAAATTCAGTGGTTTCATTCCAAAGGCAATTGGGAATTTGACTTTGCTGCAAAAAATAATTCTTGGTGGTAACAACTTTAAAGGTATGATTCCCTACTCCTCTTTGTTATTCAGTTTGGTTTGCGTTTGATATATATTCAAAGTAAGAAGATTTGGGAAATTTCATAATATACACTGTTTTTTGGGGTGTATACCATACGTACAGTTTGAGTTATTTAGTTACTAGCCTATCATTGATAAATTTATTTTTAAATTAATTAAAATAATTTAAAAAAAATATTTTTTTTTTTAAAAACAAAAAGAGTGTTTCAAATTACCTTTTTAAGCGGTTTTCAGGATTTTTAAGAGATAAAAAAAAAAAATTAATCTATTTAGGAATGAATTTTTAAATTGTATGGAAAAATGTAAATATTTATGTTTGTTACTTAAAATTTTCCTTTTACCCTTCCAAATGTGTAAATATCTATGCAGTTACTCACAAGAATTGTTTGATCTTTTCAAACAAGTACAAAGATTTTTGAACTTTTATTTTGGGTTAATTACAAAAAAAAAAAAAAAAAAAAACCAACAACAACAACAACAACAAGGTTTCATGCATTTTTCACTTCAAACCCCAATCTTTCAATTTTGACAAATTAAACTCTAGAGTTCCATCCTTGTTTCAATTTGCCCATTCCATCCATCTCCGTCTGCGTAAGCTAATGGAGGGGGTTTAAAGTGAAAAAATTGGAGTTTAAATTGAAAAATGAGTGAAACCTTGGGTTTTTTTTGTGTAATTGACCATTTTTTAAAAATAAAAATCACTAAAAATAAAAAGGGTTAATTACAAAATAAATCCCAAGATTTCACATGTTTTTAACTTTAAACCCCCCTCTGTTACCTTACATAGGCCCTGTTTGGTAGAGCTGTGGGAAAGTGCTTATAGTTTATGCCTCAACAGCTTATAACTTATAACTTTCAGCTTAAGCTGATTTCCAGTTTATTCTTAAAGCATCTCCTGCCCCATTAAAAAAAAAAAAAAAAAAAAAAAACCAACCAACAACAACAAGAAGGTTTCATGCATTTTTCACTTCAAACCCCAGTCTTTCAATTTTGACAAATTAAACTCTAGAGTTCCATCCGTGTTTCAATTTGCCCATTCCATCCACCTTCGTCTGCGTAAGCTAATGGAGGGGGTTTAAAGTGAAAAAACTGGAGTTTAAATTGAAAAATGAGTGAAACCTTTGGTTTTTTTTGTGTAATTGACCATTTTTAAAAAATAAAAATCACTAAAAATAAAAAGGGTTAATTACAAAATAAATCCCAAGATTTCACATGTTTTTAACTTTAAACCCCCCTCTGTTACCTTACATAGACAGAGATGGACGAAGGGGGCAAATTGAAATATAGATGGAATTTCAGGGTTTAATTTGTCGAAATTGAAACACTGGGATTTAAAGTGAAAAACGCATGAAACCTTGGGGTTATTTTTGTAATTAACTTTCTTTTTTTTTTTGATACATGCCAAACACATTTTAGCACTCTTTAGTTTTTTTTGGCTTTTTAATAAAAAAGATAACATCCCAAACATGGCATGAATTACACAATTTTTATTTTATTTTATTTTTTGTTGCTATTAATGTTTTGTCCTAAGTATTAAATAACAAATAGATATATAATAATTCAATTAGTAAAATTAAAATGAATAAATTTTCTAAAATTACAAAAATTATACTTTAGGCCAAATATAATTACTTTATCAACAAAATTCATAATTATAATTCATCTTACCACAGTTTATCAAGTGATATAACAATCTTATATTTTTTTTTCTCCCTCTCTTTCTCTCTCTCCCTCATCTTCTATCTCTTTTTATTTTTAAGGCGATGTTGCAAAACAAATTGTAATGAAATATTTAAATTTTTATATTTATTCAATAAGTATATTAGAAAAATATTCTTGATTAGTAAAATTTGGTTTATCAATTGATAGCATATGATAAATTTAAGTTGACCGTAAAATGTAAGGGTATTTTTAAAATTTTATGTAATGATCGAGGTATCTAAGTCATGTTAGATTTCTGTCAATCAACACAAATTGAAAAGTCACTTGCCAATTTGTTTATGTAAATATTTTTTAAATTGGTAAACATACATCATTAATAATTTTTTTTTTCATAATAAAATGTACATATTTAATAGCTTTGAAAAAATAGAATAAATGTAATATTCTTTTATAGTGTTGTAATTATGGCCGTAACTTCACTTTAATCTAGACACTTGTAGATATTTTTAGCCAAAATTAAATAAAAATCAATTCAAACAAAATATCACTTCAATTCAAACAAAATTAAATAGATATTTGTTTATGAAAATATTTTTTGAATTGATATTTTTAAACAAAATCAACTGCAGATAAAAATATTAAAGTGAAGTCATAAAAATATTAAGGAAAAAATTATTACGTACTTTTGAAGTAATGCTCTACACCAATTGTCAATTAACATATATCATGATGTCACAAAATACTGAAAATAAAAAATAAAAAATAAAAAAAGAGTAGTGATATACAAACATAAAATCAATACAAAAAAAATTATTAATAATGATTTGGTTGGATTTTGATCTATTACTTTACAATAAAGATTTCATTTACATGTTTTTTATTATACAAATGACACTATCTCATCATTTTAGGATAAAATTTTGCATAAATATTCTAGTGAAAATAATAATTTTCAACAAAAAATTGGTTACAAGTAAAAAATAAATAATTGTTAGTAGAGAGTAAAGGGACAAATGATACGTAAAATATGAAATGTAAAAATGAAAAATGGTCAGAAGTAAAAAAAAAAAAAGGTGTGTGTAAAGGATGAAAGAGTCTGTTTAAAGAATGCAAAAGACTAAATATTAATTAACCTCTAATTGTTTCATAAAGATTGAGAACAAAAAAATAATGATTGCATGAATATAATATTTATAGAATGAGAAGGACATGAATGACATGGAAAATGTGTAATGTATGACGGCTAGTGTAACGCCCCAATTTTCATGCCCAAATGATAATACATTTACTTCAAATCAAAATAACATAAACAAATAAATACCTTCATGGGTTTACAAGTTTCCAAGGCTAAGGCCTAGTTACACAAATCGGTTATTCAAATCCACACAAACATAGCCCTTGGCTTACAAAACAGAGTCACGCAGAAAGAGAGCATTGTACTCCCAACACACACACTTCCACGCCTTCAGTTAGGTGGAATCACTACATCTTTTTCTGCACAAAAATCCCGTAGGGTGAGCATAAAGCCCAGTAGAGAATTCTTAACAAAGTATATACATTTTACACAAGTCTCAAGAGATGAATGCATATGCCATGCCATGCTCTTTTAAAAATAAAGACACATCTTCATTTATTTGAAAACCATCATGCTCAATGATGCCATGCAATTTCAACTGTTCCACATTTATCAATTTTGTTTAAGGGGCGGTAAATACAACTCCGTAAATCCCTAGGTTAGTGTCTGCAAGTAGATTATACCAGCACTACCAATTTGTCTTTTTTACCAATGTTAGCTGGAAGGCTCGACACCTTTAGTTTGTCTTTTTTCCCAGTGTTAGCTGGAAGGCGCGACACCTATAATCTACACCACCTTTCAAGACTTACCATCGTATTTACCCCAAAACCATTTCATGAAAACTTATTTCTCAACATTCTTTTCTAAATGCAAAGTTTTCAAATCAAATTTCAAAACTCTTCACTATCAAATGAATTGATATGCCAATGCAATGATTAATAATACAATGCAATATTTCTTCCACTTTCAATACTCCCACACAATATTCCAAAACTTTAACAATTCTCTTATTCCATGGAAAACCATCATTTATATGTAATAAATAAACAATTTTCAAACATCATTTATTTTGGCACACAAAACAAATATAACAACATATTCTAAAGATTTTCAACATCTTTCTTAAAAATCTCCAATTTCTAGGTTTTCTCACCAAAAACTATTCATCTTCAAATATTTGAGAAGATCTCACCAAAAACATCTTTCTTTCATCAACATAGTTCCAAAACCCAAATTTCTATTTTTAAAGGAAAAGAAAGTAAACCCACTTCCAAAATCACTCATCTTCTTGAATCAATAATCAATTTTCAAAACTAATCAAAGGATGATTTCGAAAATCATCTAGATCTTGCAAAAACATATATATAACTCAAATAAAATCCCTACCTCAAGCTTAGAAGAGAAAATGAGCAAAACAAGGTTGAAACTCCAAAGTTGTCGAAACCAACTTTTACTTGGATCAAAACGAAGCTCTTGATAAGCTCTACACTTAATCTCAAAGGAGCAAGGCAAGGAGATGGTTCTAAGAGAGTAGTTCTAAAGATCTTTGAGCAAAAAGTGATTTTGGAGAGGGAGAGAATAACTCACGGCTTGGAGAAGGAGAAAGAGAAGAAAAAGTAAAGAAAAAGGTTAAGTGAGAGACCTATTTATAGTGCTAGGTCATAATGAAATAAAGTTCCAAAGTCAATCCAAAAGATCAAATCAAAATCCCTAAAAAGTAGGTCCAAAATGGACTGAAATCTGGAAAAAAAAGTCTGCAGGGGTCGACCCTTTCAACACAGGGGTCGACCCTATGAAGAAACTTATGTTTGACAGCATGCAAGAAGGTCGACCCTTAGACAGGAGGGGGTCGACTCTATTTTCCAGCAACTAACACACAGACATAAGAGGGTCGACCATTTCTAGACTAGTGTCGACCTTATAGAAAACCAGCAAAAGCACTAAGAATTCAAACAGGTATAATTCTCTCGTTCGGACTCCGTTTTAGTCGTTCTTGTGTCCAAATCGAAGCTCCGAAAACAAGTTTTCCAATGGTTCTAGCCTCACATCCAAATTCAAAGTATAGAAAAAGAAAAGGGCAAAAGAGTGAAGGCTGGTCAAAATAAAAACTCAAATTTGGGGCTTTTGATCTAATCTTGCTTAAACACTTTGTTAAGGCTTCAAACAAGGTTCCAAACATCACCTAAGAATCCTCAATTATAAGATTTAAAGTTCACTTGCCAACCCATCAATACCAATCTGACA